GGGGGGGGGGGGGAAGGGTTGACATGGATATGAGAAGTTCGTTCTGCGAGCAGTGATCTGCATTGTTCAATATTATCTTAGCAATTCTTTAACATGCATCGCTATGCTTGCAAACAATAAAGTTGTCCAAGATATTTCCGGCTACACCACTAAATCGGGAAAAAATTTAGTGGAACTGAAAACTAATATGAAATTATATTCTGTCAAGATAGAGAAAATTACATAAAAACAGTAGGGAAATTAAGGAAAGATGCACGAAATCACAAATTTAAAGATCACATTTAGGGAAGCAGTATGTTTCTATATCCTGATAGCACAAGAATAAAGTTTACTAACGTTATTGTAAACATTCTTTACATGTCTATTCCAGGATAGGTTGGGTGATAGACCGATATCGATGTGTTCATCGGAGCTTTGGAAATGCTGTGACTGTTAACGATGAGTTCAGGTAGATCATTAAAAGTAGTTTGATAATGGGAGCAGGTGTTTTCAGACTGCCTTGAAGTTGGTGAAAAAATACATCGTTGTTGGAGGGGGTATCAGTTCACCAAGTCGTTAGTAGCAATGCTGATAGGTACAGTCAGGTCGTTTATGAATAGAGAATAAAAGAATAAAAGAATAAAAGAATGAATGGCGCCCTAAATCCAAATTTAATAGCACTAACCTCTTTGTGGATTGTTCTAGAAATATTACTGGATGAAATAACATTCCGGGATATACACTCCACAGAAAATGACTACGCAGGTGAAATGGCTCTCTTCCTGGATGAATCCTTCCCAGCTGTATTGCTTTTTCCCCAGATCTAATCGATCGAGACTGTATGATTTCAAACTGTTTTCCCGTCCGGAGAGACCCTAATGCTGGGCGTGGTCTATCGCAGTGCCTTGATCTACAAATACCAGATGGATTGTATCAATCGAACCGTTAGTGAAAAAGGCCCAATGTTTTGAGTGGGTTTCGTTCCGTGCCTGTCGGGAAGCGTCTGCACCTTCCACCTATACTGGGGTTCCCTAAGGTAAGAGTTCATGGTCCATTCCTCTTTCAACTTTGCATTAATAAACAGAATATAAGTCAACGCCCTATGCACGTCAATGTACACAGACAATTTGGCCAGTTGAAGCACCGATCGCCAAACCTTTATCTCAGCCATAGTTGCTGTTAAGGGCTGGTCTAAGGACTGAAATCTTCCAAATGCCGACGACAAATGCGTCCGGATGTCATTTGGGGAGTCCCTGCGCATATTTTACAGCCAGCTCTTCCTCGTCCATGAAGTGTTCAACAGACTAGTTTCCCGGATGCTGGCTGATGCGGCATTCCTATTTATACGTTATTTGTCATCCTAGACCTTTCCGTTTCAAAAGTACAATTATCACTAATCAGTATATACTTCCTTCTTGTTCCCAGTCAGATATATCCTATTTCTTTGATCATTACATCCTTTTTTTGTTCCAATATTAGACTAGAATCTTTATTGGGCTGTTGGTGAATTAAACCGTGCAAGCATTTTCCGCCTGCTTTCTTTTGGCTTGTCTGATTTGTCTCATTCGCTTACCAGAGGTAGCTCTATACTTGACCGGGTAATCACAAACCATCTCACTTTGTTTTCTCGCAAACTAAGGGCCCCAGTCGCTACCAGTGATTCTTTTGCTCTCCTCTTTAGCCAAAATATATACTCTAGTTCTGCATATCCAAGATTCATACGATCAAACCTGCATTGCTCTCCTCTGTCGTCCCAAAACGGTTATCCAATATTGATTTGCTTCCTGTTCATCGCTTCTTAACTGTGTCAGTCTTTTCACGGAAACGATGAAATCGATCTTCCACTTTTGCTTTCACATGGTTGAAACGGAAAAACTCCATATCCTCGTTTGAACTCACTACGAAGGCAAAGTGAACGATCCTATAAATCTCATCATTCATCTGCTGTAAAATACTATTCTCACCTAATTGAGGCTAAGATAACACGTGGAAACAAAAAGTTCGCTTCCTAAGTCCTGCAAACGGAAGACATAAGGCTTTTATGGCAAGGAATTCGTCTTCTCTGCGGACAAAAAAGGAAAACAGTGAACAGTGATGTTGATTTAAATAGCCTTAACGCTGCATTTCTTTATCCGTCTAACAATAACCAGATACCCTCTTTCTCATGTGAGGTTTCTGACTCTGATCTGTTCCCTTTTTCCAATGATGAAATTTTTAAGCTTATACGTTCTTCAAACCATCGTCATCTGCGGGCCCTGATGGTCTTTCTCCAGCGTTTCTCAAGTGTGAAGCAGCCACTCTAACTAGCATGATGACATTCCTCATCAAGGATTCTCCTTGTGCACAGATGATCCCCGATTCCTGGCGGCCAGTGACCATAGTACCTCTTCCAAAGACCTCATCCTTAACCGTTCTTGCAAAACGTTTTCGTCCCATTGCATTGACGTCAGTAGTTCTAAATTTGACTAAGAAAGCCACCCTGAGTCGCTTACAATCACTTTTCACCATTCCCCTTGATCATCTTCAGTTCTCGTATAAACCCAACAGATCCACTTAAGATGCTGTGTCTACTTTGGTCCATTTCATAAGCAAGTCATTAAACAGCTCTGTCAAATCTGTTCATTGCGTTTTTCTCGATTATTCGTCTGCTTTTGATTTTATGTCTCGGTCATTTCTCATTTTTAAGCTTAAATCCTTTGGTAACCCGAGATAGCGGCTTTCATAGCTTTCTGATTACTTCACCAAAAGAAACCCCCTGCTGAAAGCTGGGCAGGATTACCTCAAGTCCTCTAGCCAATAATTCTGGTGTGCTTCAAGGTGCTGTCCTCTCTTCGTATCTTTTCTGTGCTTTCATTTGTGATCCTTCAGTTCTAAACCCTTCTCATATCCAAAAGTAAGCTGACAATGTTGTTTTGTGTCAGACCGTTTCTTTATCTTCAGAATTTTCTTCTTTCACTGAAAATCTGTCCTGAATCGAATATAGTTTTCAAACCAGTCTAGCCGTAATCTTGACCCATCTAAGTGCTTTGAGTGCATTTTTAGTTCTTCCCGCTCTACATTTCCGTCAGACTCTGTAACTCTTAATTGTAACCTTTTGTCTACAGTGACCTCAGCCAAATATCTGAGTGTTACTGTCAATAATAGTCTTCGGTGGTTGACACATTCAGAACTATATGGGAAAATTTCGGCACCTCTACTTTCAGCTTCGGAAGCTCAAACAATTTCGTACTCCCCAGCACGTTTTGTTCTCTTTTTTTAAACAATGCGTTCTCCCTACTTTACTTTAATGCTCCCCTGTAGTGTTTCCCGTTCTGTTGAAGCAAGACTTTAAAACTATCCTCCGTGGATTGGTAGTGATAAGCCTCGAATCTTTAATTTCTGCCGAGTCATTTTTCACAGAACGTACTAATGGTCATGCGAAGTCTTGTGTGACCATTGCAAATAAGACTAAACGACTCCTCCAATCTTTGCATCTTGACTTATCTTCTTGTCCCTCCAACTCGATCACTCGTTCCTCTTATCGGTATCTACCCTCTCGAATAAACATTTATAAGGACTCACCTTTACCATATCTGGCTCGAATCTTGACCAACAAGGGAGGAGTTATAAATGAATTACTTCAATCTTTACTTGAATGAACCAAACTTCAGGGACAGTTTTTTACACAGCCCTCTGGTTTAATTGTCTATACTTCTATATTTTCTCCGGTGTGAATACCACTGTACAATTTTAATTGAAATGTAAGCATTTCGCAGCTGGCAAAAGTTAAACAAATACAAATACAAAAAAGTAACTGAAATCAGAAAAGAAATTGGGTAAAGAAAACTTGGAATATTTTACGTTCGCGTACAAAGTGTAGCAGAATGTTTGTCAGTGTGTTGTCATGTTCGTAAAATCCATTTCTCTATTGGGCGACGCAAGACGAGAAAAGCAAGGAAACAGTAGTTTCGATTAGTATTCATCTGTTGTTGAATATCAAAGCGCAATCATCTCTGTGGGGTGAACGAATGAAATTCATTTTAACTACGGATCACCATAGGTTAGGATTAACGCAATTCAGGGAAAGTATGTGTGGGGTAAAACCGGAGTAAAACAGGATCATTCGTGTAAGAGCATCGACCAAAACAATTAGATACCCTGATTGGGAGTAAAAAGTTGATGTTATGACTAGCAAAGAGAACTTTTGAGGGAAAACTTGTGAGAAAATAGCAAAACCTATGTTGTCTTGAACCAGAATACTCCCGAAGCGATAGCCACACCGAGTAGGACAACTGAAAATGCGATCAAGCAATTGGCTCCCATCCGGATTCGTCTGATTCGTCCCTTCATTGTTTCACGATCATTCACGTGGGGGAATGGAACATCTGGGATCGGTTTCCCCAGAAATCGACATAACGGTTCCCAGCCGTCTTTGACTTGGAATACGAGGAGTCGATCTGAGGGTACGGTGCGTTCAACTTCTTCGTTTCGCCGCACAAATGCTCGCTTCACCTGTTCATCGTTATCCGGGTTCACATCGGGTCCCATACATAGTGTAGTATATTGGTTCGTCATGCGTAAAAATCCCGGAGTGAATACGAGTCGCTCTTTTAATTTGCCCAACCAGCTTGAACCAAACAATGAAGTCGCAGGTTTGACTATCTCATTTATACTTTGAATCCATGTGTTTGGATCTCGTGTAGTGAGTATTACCTGTGATAAAATACAACACGCCTATCATTCGAATGGCAGAGAACAGCTTTTGATATATGCATGGTACGTCACTGAAGGCAATGCCATTTTATGTTGTGTTTGTCAACTATATATATCGTTAAGATTAACCGGCACATGTGGGTGTGTGCACACAACGTTTTTGTGACGGAATAAACGCATTGGAAAGGACGCGCAAGGGTGAACATTATAAAAAATTCAAAGGTCAAATATCGGGGTCTTGGAAATCACATATCGATAGATCAGAATGTAGTTTCTGATAAGGTGCTCATAATGGCTTTTATGAACGGAATCAATGACTTTGGGAAGATCATTAGGACTGAAATGTACCAAGTAGACTAGACCAAGTAGACTTACTGGGGCTTCGCATTATCTCACCTTTCACACCTTTGAGGCAAATCAATCAACAACAAAAACGAGTGCCTTGTCTGACACAAAGAGCATGAACGGTTTTTTCAGGTGAAACATTGGTGAATGTGGTAAAGTTAATGAACACTACACTCGGGCTGACTGATTAATGGCTTCAGTGAACTCATCGGAAAGGATCTTGGATTGCATTGCGCAATAACCTTGATGCAAAATGTAACGTATTCTTCACGTCTTGCAAACTCGACTGCTACTCTCAAGCCAACTCATTTTATGTCTACCTTTCAATTCACTTGCCCTCGGTTGGGCAAAACAATCAACAGTTATCCGAACAAACTCAATAGCATCAGCCGACCTGGTTGAATATGTGGTTATTAAAAACCATTGATAGCTCAATTCGAGTGTGTAAACCGGTATCAACCTTTTAGTTGAGTAAATTTTCCTTCATTCTTTTGTTTCGCCAGTACTTTATAGCCGGGCCCGCCCTCTGCGGTGGAGATGTTTGCAGGTAAATGTTTGCAATTCCTTGTCCCCGTCGTCCTGCGTTACTCGACCCTCACTTATACGTGTTTCGCCATTCGTACATTTTCGTTTCTTCTCGAGTTTGTGACAATACGGGGTGGGATGCTTGCTGCGACACATTGGTATAAACTCCACTACTATGCGAGATCCCATGTACTTCCTCATCAGACAATTCACCTTGGTAGAACTATATGAGGGTCTAATCCATCGCTTAGACAATCACATAGACCAACTGATTCGTTGGAAGGACAGAGCACAATGACCACCTAGCCAAACTTCCTATGCGCTCAGTTTTCTGACTTGTGTTAGGATCAACTGCGAGAACAATTACATCCGAGCTTCTGCTCAACCGAATGAGTTCGGTGAGTTTATCAGAAAACTGGTCCTTTTGTGCGTCAGAACTGCAGTAGGTCGGTGCATACGCTGAACTGATGAACAAACACCTTTTGGTGTTGCTTTCCTTCCGGACGCTGACAGACCCTTGGAGCCGCATCGCACATAAGCGACTGTTGACGAGGATCCAATCGAGTAGTGCGGCTTTGGCTGTTTTTGAGTGCAATATCCACACCACGCTGGCCTACTGAACAGGCTTCATCATCATCCGACGTGCGGAGGAAGAACCTCGAAGACAACTCCGGTGCACTTAAGTGGCTTATAGTACTAGAACCCTGGATTCTCGTCGCCAAAACGCAGCAAACATCAATTCCCAAAGAGTTCAGTGCATGCGCCAGACACCCTTGTTGATCTGCCTGCATCAGAGTTCTCACGTTGAAGGCCCCCCAGGTTCAGTGTTTGAATAGGCTTCAGAATCTACAATCTACTTTGTGGTACACTACTTACCATGCTACTTGGCAACGAACTTTAGCAAGTGACAAACAAATTGTCTGACGGAATGTTACGGGCTGGAAGAAGGGGTACAAGGAGAGGGTTGTGAAGGGCGGATAAAGAGTTACACAAAGGTTGAGATATCTGAGCAGTAGCCCAATTATCACTACCTACCCCACTCGATGCAATGGGCAGCGCGGTCCTGATTATCATGCGCGATGACCGATGCAGTATGGAATTATTTTTTGTTTGTGTATGCATTTGAATTTGATGGACGGGTACTTTTCCAGGGTGTCTAGCCACTAAGCAGAACAACGATGAGGGTTCTCGTCCAAAGCCTTTAGTTATAACAAGAGCCTGACCGCAAGGCAGCCAGTAAAGCGAATTAGAGTCATATTTACTTGGATTAAATACTCCTCTACCATTTGACCGACTGGAACGCTAACTCGAGTCGAACCCCCAAACTGGAGGCCCAGGAGACTGGACTTCGTCTGACCTCTACCCGTCGACCTTCCAGGAATGATTCGATCTGAGGCTCGACAAAAGCCATCCTGTACAGGTCGTTGGGTCAGATAGGTGCACAAACCATCACATCACGTCAAGCAGCAGTCTCGTCGTGATAGTGAGATATCATGGGTATACACATCTGTAATACTGATATTAAACGATGCTGATAGCAGACGACGCACTGCCCGTTTTCCATTCGAAATGTTGTTCAATTTTAGACTAATACAGCACACAAGCATACAGAGAGAGAATTATGCGCTTCGATTCGAAACCCAACAAACCCGCTGGACGTGCACTGAGAACAGTTCATGGGAGAGGTTACACAGGGGTAAAATCATTTCAAATCTTTTCAGCGGTATGCAGGAAACTTTCGAACTGCTATGCCAAAGACAAATGGAATACACAATAAAATAGTCATACCTTTGCTTCCGGATAGATTTTCATCAACTGTTTGTAGATCACACAGCCCGGAATGTCAGTTGTCATCTGATAACCTTTGAAAATCTGCTTGATCAGATCCGGAGGCAATTCAGCATCAATGTCTTGCTCTATTCGATCATAAACTTGTGTCCACAGTTTCACGTGATCCAAGTGTTTAAATGCAACTTCCATCATGTGATAGCACGGTTTTTGGTACAGTATTTCCAATGCAGTTTTCAAGGTCATTGTTCCAGTTCGGAAAACCCCAGCACCAATCACGAGCAACGGTGCGTGATCATCTTCTTTTTCTTCCGGTCTATTTGAAAACATCACGTTCGTTTGAGGTCTACAAAACAAAGCGAACCTCTCATATGACGACAGTTTTAAGTTCAATCACAGAAAACAATACCCAAAGTGTAACCAACGGATATCTCGAATGATTTGTCCTTGAGAACCTCGAAGTTCATGAATGAATACGGTGACAAGCAACCGATCTGAGTGAGAGCAAAACGTGTTCCTGCGTAAACGACGTTCAGGAGGCCCCAGTGCTACGGAATCAGTTTACCATCATATATATATGGATTCTTTTCAAACAAAGAATTCTTGTTATGATTCTATGGATGAAGAGAGCAGCTTGCATGAACCTACGCTTTAAAAATAATACTTTGGACGAAGGCTGCATAGGGAACAGAGCTACGTGAAAAGTTCTTTACAGGTGCATGCTTGTCGTGGGATGCCTTGAAACTAAAGATACTGTTTAGGTGAGGATAGCTCTTGAATGTGTTTGGTCACATCCATTTCGTCAGTCTCTTAAGGATATCTATTGACATTCAGCGTCCTCATTTTTGTAGCATCACACAGTAATCTTTTGCGTTTTGCACCAGTAAGTGATTAAATTATATTTTGTACTCGTCATCAATTGGTCAGGATCACCAATTTATAGGCTCGCAAATTATCACCTTGCAAACCCAACACTGTTTTCATAATTACCCCGTGTCTGTGTATCGCTATGCACCCGGTCTATCAGCAACTCCACTGCCTCCCTCCCTCCCCGAAAAAAAAACATGAAACCAGTTTAAAGAGAGATATGTTGAAACAAAGGAAAGCAATGAATATTAGATTAATCAAGGTTGTGAACCAGAACGCTGAGGCTTCTTCTTTTGTCCTCGATGAGTGCATGACAGTGGCTACCTGATTTCAGAAACCAGACCTCAAACGCCTCGTCATAAACCGAGGTTGCAGTGACAATGACAACATTACTAGTATGAATTTGGCAAGCCAGTTGACATGCATAAGAATCCTAAATAAAGTGATTGCGCGTAGAAAGAAATACTTTTTGAAAAGATTTCTCCCGGAAAGATGATCTCATAGTAGATACTCAAATCTTGTCAGTTCTTTTATCCGATTGTGTCAAGAATTACCCAAAACATTTCATCGGACAAACTGTAAGAAAACTGTCAACATGGATCCGTGAACACCAATCGTTGATTACCCTACACGGAGATCAAAAAGGACATCAGTTTGACTTCGAATCAGTGAAAATTATCGACTAAGCCCGGTCAAAACACGCCAGAGAATTTCGCGAGGCTTGGCACTCTTCAAACACCTCGATAAACGGATACATCGAGCTGGATTACGTGTACATGCTAATGCAACGCAGGGATCAAATGACGCAACAAAAATGTCATGTCGTTACCTGAGAACGGACCGAATCCGCAATTAGGGTTCAAGGACAACCCGCTCCCCTCCCACTCTCACTCCCTCACGGCAGTTTTCTGGCGAACCGAGTTGAACACAATGAGAACAAGGGACAACAATAGTCGGTGGAGAAGACCACATGTATAAACGAACGGGTCCAGCAGAACACTGTCACCTCACACGCACTGATGGTGTCACCTCGGCTAGTGATGAAACGTTTGCAAACAAATTGTCAAGTTCGGCGAACAGGAAAAACTGAATTCAGTTCACCTGAGCTACAAGAACCGATTTTCAAAATTTATCAATGAAAATGATAGCAGTGCCCAATGCTCAAAATCCTTTGTTGCATAGCAGTTTCCAAAAGTCATTATCATCAACTGGTGCGCAAAGTCAGTGAACAGGCTCGAATCAGTTATAATGTGAGTGGACTGAAAGACAGACACATACAGAACTCGAGGCGATGTGATGACAATTTGTAATGTTCGACCATCGCGGGATGAATGTCCGGTACTGACAGAGTTATATAACTTGATGGTTACAAAATGCAAGAGCTATGTTCACTACTTGTCGGGAACCACTACGGAGCGGATCAACAATACCCTCTGCTTCTAAGGCGGTCAATAGGACTGCAGATTATCGAACTCAATGAATCAAATGGTGAAGTTAATCTGCAGAAGCGTGTAGGAAAACACATCTGTTGTTAAAAATTCCGTATACATCTGATGTGCTTGAAATGTCATTCCACTGTACACGACTATCACTATCATGCCGACTGCATCATGACATACGTTTTTTCAATTATCAACAGAAGAATTTAGTCATAAGTTGTTCTTTTAGTCCATCTGCGATCGATAGACGTTTCCAATTTCTAGGCGAGTCTACCGCGCAACTGATAGTTCTGTTTCTGATGCGTCGTCTGAGTAGACATTTATTACTCGGAACAGACTACAGCGTACTGATTTACGTTTATGGGAGAGAGGTGCCAAAATAAGGAACTTTGGCTACTCTCCGTTTCATTATCGTCTAGCAATGGCAATTCGTTAGACGTGGGTCGTAGTACAAAGCAGCTATGTCAGCACGTCGAGGAACACCAACCCATTTGACCTAGACAAGGAGGGAACGGGTTTGTCACTGATTCTACTGTGGCACATTTGGTCAATAAGGGATATATGGTGGACAGCATTTCGCTTTCAATATCATTTACGGAGTCCCACAAAGTAAATCCAAGACTGTTCGAATTGAAATGCTAGCCACAGCGGGAGCGATTATTATTCGCTACTTCAAGCCAGAATGGTGCGCACAACATTACTTGTACAGGTGGTCAATGCTTCCTGGCCCAACGTGGACAACATCATTCGTGAGCCCAGTGAGGACCCAAATCTGTTACCACAAACTACGCAGTCCGCTCATATCCGAACAACGGAAATGGAGACAAACTTCCCCCTCTTGCAACTCTTTGCTATCATTGACTAACCTGTAATTTTGGCACTCAATATATCACCCTCCCGTTGCTTTCTTACATCAATGTGATTGCCATGGCTTGACAATCAATACCAGAAAGCATGATCCCCTATTCCGCATGTTGGGATTATCACAAAGAGCTTATTTGTGAGTTGAAAAAACATATAATTAACAAGCAGCATTTAAATAACTAAGCTGAGTTTACGTTTGGGAATTTGGCCGATATTACTATTTGGTGAGAGCAGCTTCAAACGTGATTGAATTTTGATTAACCACTTCGTTTGAGAATCCAGAATTAGTTCAAAGGAGCCATCTTGAGGCCTGTGATACAAGGTCATGTCGAAATCGTGGGCTATACACTGATGACTGTATGAGGTCGAGAATCCTAAGTGAGAAAAACACCTCGATGCTCAATCAAGCCAGTAACCCAGACGAGAATCTTAAAATGAGAATGCAGTTCGCACACGTCTACTCAGTTTGTTTGAAATTAAACATTTAAGCGAACTCCTTCAACTGAACTTCAAGTATTTCACTGACCCGGTTATAGCTCCGGATGCTGACTTTTCGATCTCTCCCTTTGATGAAAAGCCATCTTCATCACATGGTCAGTCAGTAGGACTTACATAGCACAGTTTTTTCGATATGATTGGTCTTCAAAGAGCGATTTCCAAGGCGCAGCTGAAGGGTTGTCAGTCAAAATTCAAGATTTCCGCACAATCTCCTAATGAGGCTTACTTACAGAGGCTGCTTCAGCCTTCCTGAGCAAAACCCAATGAACTAGTGCGACTTTATTTACTGATCAATATGAAACGACTTACCATAATGATAGGTAATTTGGAAACAGTGAAACGCAGTCCTATTGAATGAAACTTAAGAAAACACGTATCGGAAAAACACACGAAAATATTACCATTTACAGGTGTCGTAATAGCCCATTTTACTCACTCTAGTGGAAAGTGCAAAGGACAACGGAGTTCTAGCGCTAGTTTGACAATAAATTTATCATCCAATGCTGCCGTCACTCTCTTGCCAGAAAAAAGCTGTAGGCGAGTTTTATGACGAACAAACCCAAAGAGTGACTAACTTCAAATTTCGTTGAAGCACTATGAAATTCTGAACTTTCTACCTATCAAAACAATTGTGAATCAGTTTTGATAAATTAAAATCATTAGACAACAGTTAAATTCGGATGTTTATATTGTAATTATTAAATCGCTCATTATCAGGACTCAGGAGGATATATAATGGTATTTTTCAAATACCAATCCCTTTATCCTTCTAACGTTTTCAAAAAACGAATCTCTCGACATGTATCTATGGTCGCAGTCTTTGTAAAACACCGAACCGGACATGGGTAGAATTTGTTAATCGTTCAACACCAGATATTCCAGAGCGGAATGCAAGTGAACGTATAAATTACCACCAAGATGATCTAATTAGACATACCTTGCATGTACAAACTAGCAGTTCCGTTTGAGTCCGCAGCGAACGAAGTCAATGGTCACAGTGCATGTGTAGATATAAATAATGACGTGATAGGGTTAGGTCAGACTAGAGGTCACATGAATGATAGGAGCGTCTGGATTGGTTGTCATACGTCGGTTGATTTGAGTTGAATCTGCATGAACCCAATTCATCAGCTGATATCATTTTGAGGTCGAATATAGCTGCCTACCACCACTCTGATTGATCTGTCTTTGAGAGAGATGAGGATAAATAAAATGCTTGTATTATTCGGATCTGTTGAAAAACAAATATTTATTGTGGCTGGTGGAAAATTATATGTATATAGTTTATTTTCACATGTGAACCGTGTGCTTTAATCAGGTTACTTCTCTTAGTAAGGACGATGTATGATGTACATCAATCATACATCCAGGTTAATGTATTTTCGGTTGATCCTCTGGAAAATGTCCACAACCTGGGCGGTGGAGTAGTAACCTTTGAAAATCGTAGCTGGTTTCCTTAGTTCGAGTTTAGTCAAGAAAAGATTATCGCCCGGCATAGGAAGTATGTATGGGATTAAAAGCTGCTCTTAGTAATCTCCGCTGTTGTTTGCTCACTGTTGCCCAAGGTTGAGCATGCCTCCTGTAGATTTCGTGAGCATGTATGCGGAGAGTGTTGATGCTATTTTCCTACTGGGAAGTTGGCTACATCACATTTGAGGAAGT